AAGGCACAATCAAATTCAACTTTAGGGTATTTCCAATAGGAGGGGTCCACTTCATGTTAGCCTTCAGAGAAGGATTAGCTGAGTTATGCTTTGTAGCCTCATAGTTCAGCCAACCATTTGCCTCCCAAAGAGATAATAATCCTCCCTGCTTGAGTAAAAGCAAAGACAGGATCAGGAGAGATATTATTAAAAATAAAAGCATTCCTACGTTTCCAGATTTACCACAAAAGAGCAGCCAAGAATGCTTTTTGCCAAGGCAACATAGATAAATCACAAAAGCAATTAGCAATCCATTGATTCAGACCAACATTTAGATTGTCATCCAAGAGAAAGGTGAAAGGACTACCAAACCAAGCCAGCCTTGCCCATTGGCATCATAGAAAGAGATGATCCAAGGACTCTACACTACTTTTGCAAATTAGACACATATCGGTAATGTTACAGTTCCTCCTCGTAAGATTCTCAAAGGTAGGTAGGGCTTTGGAAATTAATCTCCAGACAAAATTTTTAACTTTATGAGGAGCTTTAGCCTCCAAACCTCTCGCCATAACTTCCTGTGATCATTATTAGAGATAGTGGGAAAATAATCATATCTATGCAGCACGTTTGTTCTTGCCAAATTATATCCCTGCTTGACCACATAAACGCTCCTATTACCTTCTGTCCAGATCCATTTATCATTTTGATTATTTCTAGCAGCAGTTGTGTTAAGGATTGCAGATTTTTCCTTCTCTGAGATCCATTGTTCAATTGGAAGAAGGTTCCATCCCCCTCCTTCTCTCAAATCTGCTACTTTTAGGTTAGCAAGGGAATCATTTGGGTATGGCGAAAAAAGTTTTTAACCTGGGAGAGAGCCAAGCCATGGATCCTTCCAAATACTGGTATCCTCCACATTTCTAATGCTTTTCAGGAGATTGCCTTGTAAGACTTTCCTTCCTTCAATGATGCTAGCCCACAACCAAGAGGCCGAGCCACCTTTCTTTGTTTCCATAAATTAAGTTGCATCTTGAGAAATATCTAGCCTTAAGAATCTTTACCCACAGTTGATTTGGTCCCTAGTTGGTGTTGACTGCAGATTAATTGATGAGCACCCAAAGAAATATTACATTTTAAAAAAGTTTATTAAAATTCTTATTAATGCTATAATTTTTAAAAGTCAAACTTCATACAATTTATTACAAGTGAACTACTCAAATTAAAAGTGAACTTCTGAAAATATTAATACTTTAATATTGTTTTTCACCCTTATTACAATGATTCATCAACTAGATAACTAATTCACACATACCAAGAAATGACAGTCCTGTTATTAAATGTGCTTCAAAATTATAAAAATTTTCAAATATACCCTTATTTAATAATATGATTTACATGAATGTTTGCTAATAAATATTATAATAATATTCCCTAGGTGCTATTTATAAGAGTCCAAAATTTGAATTGGTTTGTTTCTTTTTATTAGATCTTACTAAGAATTGTCTAAATATTAAATTTTTTTTACTAATTTTGCCCATAATTTTTATTCTCTCTTCTCATCTTTTAATCATATTTCATTCACTTTCATCATTTATCTCATTACTAATATTTTTCTCTCTTATTTGCTCCCTCATTAAGTAAGGACATACTTAAAAAAAGAGGTTTAATTTTTACATATTTATTACTTTTAACTAATTTTAACAGCTTTCTTCAATGGTATAATTTAGTTAATAGGATCTCATAAAAAGGATCAGAGAGAGTAATTTATAAGTAGAAGTAAATTAGGAGAAAAAGTCATTAATGACCCTATTGACCTCTTATAATAAGAACCAAGAGGGAGTATTTACAAGTCAACATCTAATAATTACTCACAAATTGGTGAAGTTTGAGTGGTAAATGCTGAAGTGCTTCCTCCAGTTCTATAGATAAACTTCAAATAACTAATTTGTGGATAATAAGCAATTATTTAAAAGTAATAAATAAGTTAAAAATATAATATTGTTTTTAAATATGCCCTTATAATAAATGAGAAAAAGAATAAAAGAGAATGTGTGGAAAAATATGATAAGAGAGAGTATGACAAAGGTTAAAAACATAATTAAAGACAAAATTAAAAAAAATACATTAAGACAATTCATTCCCACCTAACGAGTTATCTATTGATTGTGGGTCAAGCAGCAATACTGTCATTGGGGTTGCTCAATCAATCAAGTACAATAAAGAGTGAATATGCATATGCCTTTTGGAATAAAAATCTCCTTCAAAAAAGGATAATCAAGTAATTTCCAGAAGGCATAAATCATCCAATAAATTTGTGCTTCATCAGGTCTTAGAGCATCCATTGAGAATTTCGTTTAGCTGCTTGCTTAGCTTCGTATTTCTGATCAGCTTCAATGGCGGACAAACTAGTAAAAGAGAAGACTTGGATAGTGAGTATGGTTTTCTTCTTCTTCTTGTTGTGTTTTGTTCACATGACAATGGCAGGTCAAGATAAAGTCACCAGAGCTAAGGAACTTCAGGTTGAGAAATTTTTGACGAAGTTGAACAAACCAGCCGTTAAGTCTATTAAGTAGGGTTATGTTAAAAAACCCGGTAGTCTAGATAACTTGGTTTGACTTGAGAGAATTTAATCTTGTTTAGTCAGATAAAATCAGTCAGATCATAAAACCAGACCGAATTGACTGATTGGGCTGGAGCGGGTTCCAAACCAAGTAAGTGTTCAGACCACTTGGTCTGGTCTGGTCTATAGCCCAAGTAATTTTTTTTTTTAAAATTTAGTTAGACTATACGCTGTCATTCTTAACACTCTCAAATCACTTTTCACTCTCACCCTCACTCTCAAACCTGAAGGCGAAGAAGAGAATCCCTAGGCTATCACAGCGGCGTCCTCCCTCACTCACCCTCAGTCCTCGGCGTCGCTCACATTTGGTTCTCCCCACTTGGCCTAGTTTTCAGCATCGCAACCTTCCTGCCTGTTCTGTGGAGGTATGCAGTTGCTCCGCCAATGGGAAAAGGAGAGGGATTGCAAAAACTAGAACCCATTATCTTTAAGCTTTAACTGATGCCTTTGCTCAATAATAGATGAATTATTTTGTGCTTATGCTTTTACCCATGGAAGATTCTTTTACCCATTTGTTTTTGTGCTTCTGCTTTCACCGATGATCTTTGATTTTTTTTTTTTGACGAGATTCATTTGTTTTGCTTTGAGTCTTCTTTGTCGGTAAGGCTGCGTTTTTTCATTTGCTGGTTATTTTTGTGTTTCTTTTATTCCAGTTGTGAGCCAAAAAGTATATACCGCCCACATCCAGAATGTGATATTCATCAACTCAAGATTTTCTTGTACTGTGTGTTAATGAATTTCTTTTCTGGCACTTCTCTCTCTTATTCCATTCAAGGGGAAAAAAACAAGTCCTTGACTGTCTTGACTAGTTCAGTAGTCTACTAGGCCAAATCTAATCCAACCCGACCTTGAGTTGGTATTAGACTGGACCGGACCTTGGACTATCTTATTAAACCCGAGCTCTTAACTAAATCAGACATCGGGTTGGTAGCAAACTCGATCTGTTCCATGCACACCTCTACTATTAAAACATATCCAATTTAGCGCCTTCCTCAGTATTATTGGTTAATTATGACTAACATTTTTTTGGCCAAAAATTATGACTGACATTTGAACTCAAATGTTCCTGCATATATATGCAGTAAAATTTGACCATTATTCATTCAATTTTAAATTGGTGTTTGACTACCAATTTTCCTAAAACCTAATTCCGATCCATTTGCAAAACCTAGTTTAATTTCATGTGGAAAAAGAGATTACATCATTCATTATATAAGAGAACATATTAATCAAGAAGATTATGCTAATTCTTGTCTTTGAGTTCCATTTAAGAAATTATTTGTGGGTTTTATAACCATCATTATTTTTTTCGCCCAACTTTATAATTTATCATTATACATATTTGGGTTAACTTTTGGTAATGGTGACATAATCGACTGTGTACATATTTTAAATCAACCAGCTTTTGATCATCCGAAGTTAAGAATCACAAAATTCAGGTAAAAAATTCATTTTGTTATGAATATAACAATATTTTTGTGGATGTCCATATATCTCCTATACATTCTATAATCTCTAATATCTCCCATTACCTGTATATCTCACAACTATTTCCTATTATTATGTAATCTGTAAATTCTATCAAAGATATAAAACTATGCCTATAAATAGAAGTTATATGGTGTTTCCATTTGTATGCAACGAGGAGGAATTCGTCGAAATTTCAAATACTTTGGAGTTTGGACTTTGGAGTGGAATGAAGTTAGAAAGAAATATAAAATAAATAGTGGGACCTAGCTATATTAACTTTAAGTTAATATTTTAGCTATTCTCTTGACTTGGTATTCGAATATGGGGCATTTGAATATTTAGCTATCTTTTTTGATTGTCATATTTTATTTATTGGACTATACTTCTATATTTGTTGCCATTTTGATTATACTTGTACAATGATGATTGATTCTTTATTCTTTAACTTGACCAAAAAAACTAAATATTACTTATAGAGTGTAATAGTAACAAATTAAATTAAAACATAGAGAAATTGAAATAGAAAATGAGAGGAGGAAACTAATTTTTCTTAATTAATGGATGAAAAAAGGTCTATGTACCGAAGTCCCATAGGCAAGTTCTTGTTTGTGGCCATTAATAAGAATCTCCCCTGCCTCTTGTTTTTGGACCTAATCTTTTGGCATTCGTACAAATTAAAACTTGAGATTTTGTGCTTAATCAATTATAATTCCTTTTTCTTATACGCAGAAGATATCTTGTTATTGAAAACTGAAAAGTTATAGTCCTATATGATCCATAAATTATAATTATATTTCCATAAACTATAATTAATTGTTTAACTAATTGAGTGTTTAAATTCAAAATCCTTTTCTCAATTAACATGCTCTCTAAATATGTTTGCTAGTTATAATTAATTGATACTATTGTATATTTGTATTGTAGAAATTAGAAGATGTCATCCCAATCTCAACAAGTATCCGATAATACTCCCTCTACACAATCTGTGAGATCGAAGGCTGATCCTGCATGGGAGCATTGTGTTCAAGTAGCTAGCAAAAACCCAAGTGGCAAACCTCGCTTGAGATGTATGTATTGTGCAAAAGAATTTGGAGGTGGAGGGATACATAGAATGAAACAGCATCTTGCAGGAATAAAAGGAGATATAATAAGTTGTAAAAAAGTTCCGGCTGATGTTTGCTTTCGGTTGGGAGAAAATTTGAAAGAAATTGAAGAGAAGAAAGGTAAGAAACAAGATACATATGAAGAGGACAATCCTTATGGTCCTAGTGTCACACCATTTGAAGGGGATGCTCCAAATTTGCAAGAGTTTCCTTCTACACAGATTCAAACTCCTACTCAAACTACTCCAACTCCTACTCCTACTTCTACCTCAAGACCATCTCAAGCTATGAAAAGAAAGCCATCTGCACCTATAGACAAATTTTTTGGCCCAAGGACAAGTCCAGGTGCACAACCGGGAATTAGAAGCGCATTTGCAGGTAAGGAAGCTGTGCATAGAGCAGACTTAGCTATGGCTAGGTGGCTCTATGATTGTTGTATTCCAATTAATGCTGTTAATTCTCCTTACTTCCAGCCTATGATAGATGCTATTGCAGCTATTGGACCTGGTTATAAAGGGCCATCTTATCATGCCTTTAGAACCAAATTACTGCAAGATATGAAAAAAGAGGTTCAATTATTAGTTGATGAGTGTAGAGGCTTTTGGGCAGAAACTGGTTGCACAATAATGGCTGGTGGTTGGCAAGATCAAAGAAATAGACAATTGATTAATTTTCTTGTTTACTGTCCTAGAGGAATTGTGTTCATTAAGTCTGTTGATGCCTCAGATATTGTGAAGGATGCTCAAACTCTTTGTAACTTATTTTTGGAAATGGTTGCATTTGTTGGTGTGGATAATGTGGTGCATTTGGTAACCGATAATGCAGCTAATTATAAAGCTGCTGGGAGGTTATTAACTGACAAGCATCCTTCTATATATTGGTCTCCATGTGCTACCCATTGTTTAAATTTGATTTTAGCGGACATTGGCAAAATGGCTCTTGTTACTAGTTTGGCATCAAGAGCTTCAAAGGTTTCAAAATTCATTTACAATCATGCATTTTTGCTTGCCTGGCTGAGAAAAAGAGAAGGTTGGAAAGAAATCATCCGTCCAGGACCTACATGGTTTGCTACCACATTTATTGCATTAAAAAGTCTTCTTGATCACAAGCATGATTTACAAGCCCTGGTAACTAGCAAGGCATTTTTAGATTCCAGATACTGTAGAGATCAGAGAGCCAAAGATGTAACATTGATTATATTAGATAACAAGTTCTGGTATGATTGTAAGATTATTATTGAAGTTGTGAAACCACTTGTTTGGTTGTTGAGAATAGTTGATTCTGATGATAGGCCTTCACTTGGATATATCTATGAGGGTATGTATAGGGCAAGGAAAGCTATCAAGAGTACTTTCATGAACAATGCAACACCTCACTTTTATATACTAATAGGATCATTTTAACGTCTGTGAATCACTAACGCCAGGTTTCCGTCCTGGGAAAAGACAGGGAATTTTTTTTTTCCCTTTAACATTGGAATCCGTTGATCAAATATTTCAAACCTTCAGATAACTGATAAGTGATCCAATATCAACCCTGCTTTCAACTTAATATATTATCACCTAAAATGATTTCATACTATACAATCTTATAATATTATATTAAAAATAAAGCAACGCTCTTGGTAGATAGCATTTACGTGCACCTGGCAATGCTCACCTCCTTCTTCTAGAGGATACAAAATAATATTTCCATAAAGCAAGTAAAGTTACTTGCCCGAATATTTTACTATACAATTTACAGAATTATAACAGGTATCTCTGCTCTTCAATCAGCCCACCTTCTTCTTAAATAACCTCCTTGTCCTTCTAGCTACTAGCCTTCACTGTTCATCATAAATTGGGGGGGTGAGATTCCGAAGAATCCCCGTAGTAGTAATTTCCATCAAACAAATGTGCAGATCACATAAAACATGCAAAACAAGCCATATGGAACAAAACCTTGCAAGCTAATGCAATTAAGCATTTATGTGCAATGACAGATAGACAAGCTGAATAAATAATGCGCAAATAATAGGCAATCACTACCGCGCATATAATTGGCAATCACTGCCCCATGTCGGTTAGACAAGCTGAATAAGTAAAGCGTAAATAATTGGCAATCACTGCCCCATGTCTATCAGCTACACGTGATCACGGCTAAATAATCCATGCAAGGAATTAAGGATTACATGTTCTCATGCTTTTTGAATAGCAATATGGCACAAACAGACATGCAGCAATCATACACAAGTGTAAGGGAGGAAAGAACTACTACCTGAACCTTCTGCTTCAAAATCAAACCTTACTTGTTTCCTTTCTCTTAGCTTCTTCGGTGGGCTTTTGCAGATATCAAAAACTATTATTTTAGTAAGGGTAGGTTAATGCTTGATCCAACATAATTCATAAATTAAATAATTCTCTTTAAATCTCAAATCTTCTTTAATCTCTACCCTTACATAATAGTTGGTCATCCTGGACAATTTTCTTATTTAATACATTTACTGTGGAGGGTTTCTCTCTTTATCTCAGCCCAAACAGTTACTTTTCTTAGTAACTGGTCATCTTGGTCAAATATACTATTTTTATCTATCATATTTGAAGGCAAAATAATGAGTTCCCTTCACTTAATTATTCTAATCTCTTAGATCCCAAGTTAAACTTCCTCAAACAAATATCTAACTTTAAGATTATTCGGCGACCAAACAGCCATTAACTTTAATTCTCACTCAATCCTTCAATCTTTAAAACTTCCCATTATATCTATTCTATTACCACTAGTCTATTTCCTTACTTCTCCATATCTTAAATTCATGGAAATCACTTCACATTGTATTAATTCATTTCTAACTTTAAACATCTACCCATCTAATTCCTTCAAACTTTAACATTCCTCAAACAATCTTTCTTAAAACCTCTAACAATAGTAGTTTCGAAATACCTTTGAGCCATAATTTTGAAATAGTATATCAAACTAGCTTCAATTGGAATACCTAACTAACATTGTAAAACTTCGTATTTGAATTTCCGTCAATCTCATCCTCAAAACTCAAAATCCCAAACTTCAAACATCTTGTTGATGTCCATTGGCCGAGGCAATATATATTTATATTCCTCCTCAATTACTTTTCCTTCCATTATAATCCCACGGCCCTTATATATAAAATATAACCAGTGCGAATTCCTACGTAAGTCATATATTACTACATATACTGAAACTATATGCATATATATATATCAGTTCGGTCTCCTCTCCAAAACGGTCATCATCTAAACCAGCGACTATCATACACACACACATAAGTTTCGGTTCTCCCCTTTCATACCGATCCAAAATCACCATCCCACATTTAACACACCTAGCTAGATATACATATATATATATATATATATATTCAGAAGTCGACCAACACAGAACATATATATATACTACTCCTGCACGTTACCCTCAAAGTCAATAACACACATGAATATATATTTTGCATCTTCCTCGATCTCTTCCTCCAAACCAAAACCAACCTTAAACAGAAGATTTCCCCTGTTTAGAATCAGCAGAACCAGACTTCCCCAAGCCTTTAACCCCTGTTCGGCCAAGTCAAAAACAGAGCAACCATTCGGTACACACATACACACATATACATACATACATATACTTATTACCTCATACTAGCTTCGTAACTTGACCTTGAAAATTCACTACCCAGATTTGAACAGCCATAACCAGAGGGAAGATGAATCATACAATTCGAAAATCATCACTAAACATTTCCAGACACACACCCCCTGTTCGGACAGCAGCGCAAAGACAAGGAAAAGCACATGCAAGATCAAAAACTACTTCTACCCACTTCTATCTTACCGACAAACACCATTTCACCGATCCTTTTCTTCCTTTCTTCACTTCCTCTCACTAACCAAATTCTGTCAGTCGACCTTTGCACCTTATTAAGCCACAAACCGGAGAAAACAAGAGTGGAAGGAAGTTCAGGAGGCTCACCTTGCTTGATTAATCGGTTTGCATGTATGGTTAGGGTCGCCGATCATTCCTCCAGTTCCGCCGTGCTTCTCCCATGCTCTCCCTGTATCGCTCTCCGTCTCTCTCTCTATTTTCCTCTGATTTTCGATACAGAATGAAGAAAGGAAGAAGCTGCCGCCAGGTTAATGAAATGGGGAGAGCAGAAATGACCATTACACCCTTCAACAAACTTTTGTTTTCACTTTCATCCTTTCTATGTTTTTCTGAACTTAGAGAATAAACACAGAAATTATTCCACCATGTTTTATATGGATTTTCCTTATCCATTAGCTTCTTTGACCCATGAAATAATGTCCATAAAAAGTTCGGGTCAAAAATAATCTCCTACCTATTTTTCTTGAATTGTGGAAGAAAATAGCCCTTAAATCCAGAAATTAATCCTTAACCCATTTTAAGGATTTTATGCCTCAAATAAATTCTCTACATCATAAGATAATTTCCCTAAAATTTTCTAGTTAATTAGAAACCTCTAAGTATTTTTTCCATAATTTTCAGAGAAAATAAACCATTTTTCTCTTAAAATTATCTATTAAAATTTTTTAAGCCATTTTTGGGGAAATACCTTTTCCAAAATGTCTCTAAACCCTAAAAATCATTATTCCATAATTTTCCCCCTTTATTTGGCAAATAAATAATTTTAATAAATTTTTCTCTTTTCTACTCATCCTAAATCATAAAATTCGGGGTGTTACAAACAAAAAAACTTTATACAAGCCTTATACAAGAATTATTAAGAGAAGGTGGGATACACAGCTTCGTCAAGATCTTCACACAGCAGCTTATGTCTTAAATCCTGCTTTTCTTTATGACCAGGCTAACTTTTCTCAAAAGCCAGAGGTTATGAATGGATATCTTACAATTATAAATAGAAAAGTAGCTTCCAATAAGACCAAGTTCTTGCAAGAAGGCACACAGTACCAAAATAGAAGTGGTAGCTTTAGTCATCCTTTGGCCCTTGAATCTGCAAAATCAATGCGACCTGGTAAAGTTTTATATTTTAATGTTTGATGATAGTTTGATGAGTCATGATTCTTGATTCTTAGGTATTAAGCTTGTGACTTAATCATTTGATGATGTTTTATTTTTGATATGACAGATGAATGGTGGCGATATTTTGGAGGTAGTTGTCCAAATGTGAAAAAGTTGGCTATTCAATTGTTAAGCCAAACTGCATCTTCATCAGGTTGTGAAAGGAATTGGAGTGTCTTTGTAAGAATACACTCTAAGAAAAGGAACAGGTTGGAGCATAAAAGGCTGAATGATCTTGTCTTTGTTCATTACAATTTTCGTTTGAGGAATATGTATATTTTTCTAACTTTTAGACTCTACTTGAATTTATATTTTCCAAACAATTGATTAAATTAATGCTAATACTATGTTATTGTCATTTGTTTTTCAAAGTTGTTAACAAGAACAAAACTTTTGATCCTATTGATTATGAAAGTATTGATAACATTGAATACTGGATAACTGAAGAAGTTGATTCTCCTCCACTTTCAACATTTCGTGCTGATGAGATCGAAGAAGACATCATTTATGATGATACAACACTACCAATGCCAAATGTTTTCATCAATGAAGAAGGTTAGATGTTTTTTAATCTTTCTATTTTTTTAATTTATATTTTACATTTGACTAATTTCAATAATATGATTGTTGCAAACTATTTTATAAAGATAATTATGAAGAGAGAGGCAATGAGGCTCAAGTTGAGGATAGATGCTTTGACATTGGAGTTGGAGCAGGTGTTAATTTGGGATCATTTTCTCAACAAGACATTGATAGTCACAGTGCAGAGGCTGCAGACCCAGACGCCTTTTTGGAGACTCATGCTTGGCTTAATCAAGATCCTCCAATATTTGACAAGTCATGAAGTCATTTGTCTTAGTGCATTATATTGAGTACTTAGGAGTCATGTAGTGTTAGATTGCTAAGGACTTAAGGAATTTTATTTTGTTAAAACATATATAGTAAACATAATTTTACTATAAATTATGCTAATTATATTTATCATATTATATATATACTATATAACTATTTTTAATTTAATTATTATCTTACCGGTTCAACCGAACGGTCCAACCGATTGAACCATGACCCGCTGCTCTTTCTGGCTCGACTTCTGGTCCGGCTTTTAAAACATTGGTTAATAGCATTAATGTAGACACGTGTTTGTGTATATAAATAAAGCAAGCAATTGATGTTTTTTTGGGTGCTTCTACTGAAAATTTGAAATGATTTGTGTCTTTTACAATTTACGATGCTCTGTGCTAACAATTTGTATGATTAAATGCAGAGTTCTCATGGAGATATAATTGACTCTGTTGTTATTTTAAGACAACCAGCTTTCGATCACCCAAAACTGAAAAATCACAAAATTCGGGTACGAGGTTTCCCTTTTGTTTTACTATTTCTCCGGTTCAAATTTTGAAGCCAGGCAATTATTAATTAATTCTTATATGATTGAAGATGAGGCCAAGCTCTTACCCAGAAGGGATAGTATTTGAAGAAAGCAACTTGGCATCAAAATCAGCACCAATTTCTCAACTTTGGCACCAAAGTGGAAGTTGTCCAGAAGGAACCATTCCTATTGGAATTTTCAAATTTTAGAAGAAAAGAAATTATCCAAAATTATTTAAGGCCCAAAAAATGAGGAAAAATCATGAAACAATAATTTTGGGAGACCGAAAATGTTATGGAAAAGTTTATTCCCAAAAAATGACTTAATTAACTTTAAAATTTAATTTCAGAAATTAAAAATATCTATTTTTTTGAAAAATTCAAGAAAAATAGTTAGAAGTTGATTTTTGACTCAAAATTTTTAGAAAAATTATTTTAAAGTTAAAGAAACTAATGAAAGGAAAAAATCTGGATAAAACACTATGGCTTTATTTCATCATTTCAGAAAAAAAGAGAAAAGATGAAAGTGGAAATAAGAAAAATATTGAAGGGCATAAAGGTCATAACACTTTACCGTCTCATTTTATCATCTGCAACCGAGAAATACAGGGAGAGGGTTGAGAGAAAAAGTGAGAGACCGAGAGGAAGAGGGTGATCGGATGAAGCCCATTGGAAGAGCATCTCTTACATGCAATTCTGTTTACCTGCTAGGGTGAGTATCCTGAACACTCTCCTACCCTTCTTTCTTCAACTCTCTGCATTGTTGAGAAGTTGATGATAGATTAAGATTTTGGCTTATGTCCGAAACTGAATATTTTAAAGGTTTAAGGGTAGGGGATGGTTGGTAGATACTTGATTGTTTGAGTTATAGTATTGCATGTTGATTTTGGCGTTGGATCTGCTTGATCTCCTCTGGTTTGCGGCCTTTGAAGCGGGGGCTGTTGTCCTTGCGAAGCTATTATTTAGTTTTGGTTTGATGACAAGAATGAAACACCGAAATGCCAAAGTAATTAGGCTATAAATACATACACACACACAGAGACTGACGCTATGGCTGTTTGGGATGAGGTTTTTGGAAGTCATACAAGTTTAATGGTGTTTATTCCCCTCTTTTCTGTGCAAACTGAGACTGTGAGGAGAGTTAATAGGATCGTTGAATTTGATATCGTTGTGCATGAGAGAGGACTCCGATGGGTTGAAAGAAAAAGGGAGATGGTCAGATTTTGTGATATATTTATATATATATGTGTGTGTGTGGCAAGTTATGCGTATGGAATATCTGGAATTTTGGAAGTCAAGATCCTATGTTTTGTTTTGTAACGAATTGAGTGCCGAAGAGATTGGGAAAATATGTACTGGTTATTGATGGTCCCAAATGATTAAGGTTAGCTAGTTCAGGGGAATCAATCAATCAGTGCATTTGAAGTTTAATTTGCTAGGTTAAGGGAGTTTTAATTGTCTTTCATAAAGATTGATCAGAGCGTGTAAAGACAGTATGAAAATGGTTTCAAAATCTGGAATTATTTTCCTGATTTTAGGGGGATAGTTGGGTGAAAGTTTTTGAAGGTTGAAAATGTCCAAATGATAAGGAATTTGAACTTGAATACATGAATGATTCCTTTCTCCCCATTCACGGATAGTGATTTCAAAGCTATTGGGAGTGGGACTTTGCGTGGTTGGTATGGCTCCAGTAAATTTAGAACATAAAATTGTATAGGGTTAGCGAAGAAAGGAATAAATAAGGGATAAGGCAAAAGGAATTAAAGCTAGGAGCTAGATCACTAAGATGTTGTTTACAATATTCTCTAAGACTGTGTTTTTATATAAATGTATTAGATTGTGTGGATTAAGAAGGGAAGATATTTCAAGTGCCTTCAAATATATGGCATAAATGTAAAAATATTATCCAGGATGACCAATTATTCAATAAAGGGATAGAGTTCTTGAGTGGGTTAAGACTAAGAGAGACTATATTTTGATTAAAACTATAAATGGATTAACTATTGACCCATCTCCATATGAATCTATATTATAGGGTTTGACATTTGTTTGAGCCCACCAAGAAAGCATGCAAGAGAGAAACAAGGAGAAGGTAAACTGGAAGAAGGGACTTTAGGTAGTTACTCTTTTCCTCTCATATACTTATGTAATAGTTTTGCTTCTTTGTTTGTGCCATAATGCCTATATTCTTTAATTAATATATGATGGATATGTTCTGTGATGAACGATTGATTGCTCTTAGAGTTATACTCAGGTAAGAATATGTGAAACTTGTTTTAAATTTAGCTCATAGATTTGTATTCAGTTATGAGTATGTGATAGTTACTTTGTATTAATTTAATTGCTATGGCCATGCTTGCTGCAAAGTGTGTGATGTATGAATATCATTGATTATATCTAGTTGCAAATCTTATGATATATGAGTATTGCTGATTATGATTGGTCGCAAGTGCTATTGATATGGCTTGTTTTGTATGCATTCATGAACTTGTATAATGGTATGATGGACTGCTGTTACTACTAAGATTTCTAAAATCTCACCACCTTTCTTCTATGATATACAGTGGCTCAAAAGCCAAAAGTACATTGACAGAAGGATGCTAAGGTTAGAGCTGAAGTTAACAGTATAGTTGGTAATATAAATAATATTTTTGTTATTTACCTGTTTAGCTTTTGGTTAGTCATGTATGGTTATAATAATGTATATAACTGTAAATATGTAATAGATTACGGGTTTTGTATATACCTCCATGAGTCGGAGAGCTATGGCTCTGGTAGCCTGCAGGTAAGTACCATCTGCACTGATGGCTATATGATGGTAGTTAAATAATGATATTAATAGTTAGTTCTATTTATCTGTTGGAATAGATAAAGGCAAGTATATGCAATGTGCCAAGGAATAGTATAGTGGCTCGAACGGAGAAATTTTTTTATTGATTTATATATTAACGAAATGTTGAGCTTTGACAATGTAGAGCCCGAATATGATCTTAAAATAAATTTTACCAGTCAAATACTTGATCCAGTAGACATGTTTCATCATAAGTAAGTTTGAAATGTTTAAAATTTTTTGGAAAATCCCATTCCTTAACAGGATTGAACCTGTGTTGGGAAAATGTTTTAAATATACATATGTCAAAGAATTTTGTTTTTCCTAGGATTATACATGGCTTTTAGTGGTTCGAAAGTAATTAGAATAATCCCATTGAAGGATAAAGATAAGATGTTACAATAAGACATATTGAGGACAAGCTATCTATCGTCGTACGCAAGAGGTCAACGCGTCAACGAGGTATCACTAAACTTTTCGTCTCTCTAATAACCAAACTACAAGCTTAATGTGTTTTTGTTTTGCTTATTGTAACGAGCATAAATCTTTCGGAAAATTATACTCCAAAAGCTAACTGTTATAGAGTTGGGAAACCAAGGCCTTATCAAGTCTCTCATTGTAGCCTTCTAATGTGAGATTCATGACATTTATTTGATTTTTATTTTATTTTTTGGGGGTGTCCATCATGCCTCAATTTTTGTGAAAGGAGATAAATATTATGGAGGCAAGGGAGCCATGAATGTTTGGAATCCTGAGTCTTGTTTAGTACAAAGTATTGAAAATGAGAGATAGGGACCAAGATTGCAATTAAAAAAATCATTAAAAAAGTTTTTAGCATGAGTAATTATTTGTTATATGAGATTAAATAAACCTATAAAAGTAGGATTGGAGAATATCACTTTCCCTCATGGTATTCCTCAATCCCACATGCATGGGTTTGTCTAATCCCATGTAACAAACAATCTCTCATGCTAAACACTATTTTCTCAATCTTAATTTCAATCTCTATCCTTTATTTTCAATGCTACCAAACGATATCTAAAGTTCCATGGGAAGTCAAACGTAGTGTCTCTGCAATTTGGCTTATGAATGATGCTGATTAAAAAAAAAAAAAAAAAACTCAATGCAACTTTTGCTGGTTGGCAGGTAAATACGAAAACAAGTTAATCATTAGAAAGCATATGAACATTTACAAACGTATTTTGACTTGCTGGTTTGCTTTTTGCAGAGTCAGGGGAATCCATCCCTCTATGGGGATAATCGAACCAGACCTGTTACATTTTGGACTGTGAGTTCCAAGTTCTTAATTAGCAGCCCTACATTTTGGACATTTAATTTGTTTCGGCCAACAAAAAATTTTATATAATTTTAAACTTTATATTATTAGTTTTATATGATAATAATTTTTTGCTTCAATATACGACAATGATTATTTTCAAATATCAACTTTTTTATTTTCAGAACAAAAAATTACTAAATTTTAGTACATTAAACAGGATAGATGCATTATAATCTTTAATTTGTTTATTTTGTTAGTGTCCTAGTCAGCTGTGAGTCTAAATGTACACACGCCCCATTATCGAATAGAATTTGATGATTTTCGATTGGAAATATTGGTTCCAATAAGCAATTGGTTGACCAGA